CCAGTGAATTTCCTGAAGTGCACTCAGGGCTGCATGACTGCGCATCCAAAGCAAACACACAAATCTAAATACAATAACTAGTACTAATACGACTACTACAACTTGTGTGACTATGACAAATACAACACGAACTGTTACGACTTCGACTACTGCTTTGCAATGACTTCATTCCACCCACTATGAAAACTATTACAACAAAATGAAATAAATAAAAATACAAAGACTGTACTGATGAATGAAAAGAGTGTTCACTAGTGCACGGCTAGAATGGGAACATAAATACCGGTACATAAAATGTCTTTTTCAACCAAGCCTATAAGTATGACTGATGGTTATAATGCTTGGTAACGGGGCTTCTAAATTGGGAACCCTCTCGATGTCTAATCCCACTCTGTGGAAGCCTGGGGCGCCTTTGACCATGACCATGAATTGACCACCACCATAATCCAATCATCTGCCTTCTCACTCGTGCCTTTCATTTGTGCTTGACTGAAATGCCGACTCCGTTTTCCAACCTTGGAGGTCACCACCAGCCCTACCTGCCCTTTGCCACATGATTTTGTGCATAAAGCAGCACTATCATTCTCAATAACACAATTTTATGTGCACTGAGTGCTATTTAAAGACTTTTTTTCCTCGCCTCCGTTTGACCGATGGAGAGAGAGAGAAAATCGAGGGGGGTAGTAGAAAGGAGCGAGTGGGTGTTCAACTGCACTGCATCACAGCGAGAGACGCTAACACATTCTCTGTGTGATGCAATGCAAAAAAAAAAAGCCTTTTTTTATTCCCTCTGCCAGGGCTGAAGGTGAGGTGTGGGGAATGGTTGCATCTCACCCTGGGAAAAGGTATGGTTCCATTGTGTTAGGTCATCTGACAAACAAACAACAACAAAAATATATACGGTATTGTACAATTGTTAGAATTTCCTGAAAAAAAATGTATTTTTAATCTTTTCCCAATTGCCATTCAATTGATGCACCCTGATAAACACACATATGCACACTCCAATTTTTGACTTGATTTCCATTTAAGGTAGGACTGATTTACGAGGCAACACCATATTATTTTTTTAAAATGTAATTTAATTTTTAAACTTTAATATTTACTTTATATTTTATTTGAAATTTAAATTGGGTGCCATCTTATTAATGAAATACAATAAAACAATGTAAGTAAAAATTACGCTAAGTAGATGCAAATCACCGATGCAAGGGACTCCATAGCGCATCTGGCCAAGGTTGGCACCTTGGCCAGTATTTCTTATGGGGTCCCCCGCTAGCATGCTTGTTGTTAGTTTATTATTTAATAAATGAACTCTTTGCAGAGCCTTCATCCAGGTTTATGTTTAGGGGGCCTGTGCGGCCCTTTTTGTCCCTGCTTCAGTGGAAGGCTGCATGTCTGGAATGCCCAATACTAATTGCTTTAGCTTTAAAGCACTCACAGAAATAGAAGACCGGTGAATGAGGTGCCCTCTGTGGTGCCTGACGGTAACTAATTAGCCTCCATGCTTAACGGGATCAGTAGGTGTCTCGTGAGAGAAAGCCCCACCTGAGAACATCCATCTTGGCCGCGCGGCCTTCCCGTGACTGTCCGTGGTGGTGCTTGCTGTGAGTCTAGTGCCTAATTTGTAGCCAAATGAGCGCCGCTCATTAGCTTGCGTCACGTTAGGGCTAATTAGCTCGCGGTAGGTCGGCTCACCTCTGAGGCCGGAAAACAATGTGTTGTGCGCCCACACTGGCAAGCCTGCACGAAAATGCCTGCGGGAGTACAAGTAAAAAATGGTTCGGAATCATTTACAGTGGTGCCTTGATTCAGACCTACTGACAGAGGTGGCAAATGTACCCACACGTTGTGCTTAATTAGAAGTGCAGATACTTAGAATACAGATACTAAATATTTCAAACTCATTCAGGATCCTCCCCACATTGACTTTACCTCTCCCTTATTTACTGTGTTTAAGGTTGCGTTTGTAAATGTGGCTCATGCAAAAAATAGCAGAATGTTGTCACATTTAGCTTCAAATAGTGATTCAAGAACATGATGTGAATTTTTGAGTGACTGTTTTTTGGGGGGGCAAAACATTTACCAACTTAAAGATACGGTGTGTAGAATTTACTGCCCTCTAGTGGTGAACTAATAAAATGCAACAATTTAATCTCGAAGCGTGCATTTCGAAGCATGCGCACTACGGGGCCTCGGAGAGACGAGACTCCAGAAGGCTATCACCAATTTCTTCAGCAGAGTTGCAAGGAAATGCCATCCCAAACGACTTCCAGTATTCCCTCGAATGGCAAATCAGTGCATAGATTAAATTTTCATGCACATGCTGTAGTCATGAAGTTGAGGAACTACGTTCACTAAATTTGTCTGCTTCATGTATTCGTAGCAGAAAGATGGTGGCGAAACATGGCAACCCCCTGTTGGGGAGGCACGCCCTATGCAAAATAATAAAATGACTTCACCTACAATTACAGAAAACAATTGACAGTGCCGTGCAAATGTATTTGCCCCTTCCTGATTCCTGTATTTATACACAAACATTTTAGTTCATCAAACACATTTTAATATCACACAGAGACAACCCGGGGAAATACAAAATGCAATTTCCAAATGCCAATTTAATTTATTTAGACAAAATAAATCAAAACCTACCTGTCCCTATGTGAAAAAAAAATATTATTGGCCTATGTACCTAATAATGGGTTGTGCCACCCTTGGCAGCAATAACTGAAATCAAGCGTTTGCGATAATTGGTGATGAGTCTTTCACATTGCTATGGAGGAATGTTGGCCTATTCTTTGCAGAATTTCTTCAACTCTGCCATATTGGAGGGTTTTCGAGCATGAACTGCCTGTTTATGGTCACACCACAGCATCTCAATTGGATTCAAATCCATAATTTGACTTGGCCACTTAAAAACATGGATGGATGGATATCTGTAATTTCACCTTCTTGGTTGGTCAAAATAGGCTACCTACAGAATGCAGTAATATATATAGGATGCAAGGGTTACAGTATATGAGGATATAAGATAGATCATAAGGCAGTGTTGCACTTCGATATGCTGATAGTGACAGCTTCCCTCTGAGAAAACATTCCCATTCGCAATTGATGTGTCCTTTGGTTGATCTGCATTGCAATGACTTTCCAAAAAAACCCCAACAACAACAAAAAAAACTTGACATTTGATGAAATGTGCTTACACGAGCATTACGTGACTTGGAAGCAACAAGGGCACTTTTCCTGCTGGACAAGTGTCCACATCAGGCCTTTTACACTACTCACAAAAGGTTGGGAAATATTTGGCTTTAGCGAATAGAAAATGTTTAATTTACAAGCTACAGTGTAGTCAGCTGTCTAAAAAAAATTACAAAAGGGGAAAAAAAGTAAAATTGACTTATTGCAAAGGACTTTTCCTTTGTTTTGGAGTTTCCCGAATGAGCCAACATCTAGTGTGTCCTTCACCTTGTCTCATCTTAATGACAACAACAATAACAGCCACCACCAGAACGAGGGCCAACAACTTGGCGGTGACGGTCTTTTTCTTCTTCAAACACAAAGAGTGAAAAAGAATAGCTGGTGAAGAAGAAGGCATCATTAGAATGTGAATTATTGTCTTGATAATGACTGGTGATCGTTATGGTGACGTGAATGATTGTTACGATGACTGGTGAAAGTTTTAAAGACATGAATGAGTGTCATAGCGACATGATTGCCATGGTGACGTGAATGAGTCTTATGGTGACTGGTGATTTTATGGTGGGATGTGAAGGATTGTGATGCTGATATGGTTCAATACCGGTGATGGTCTAAATCAGCCACGTGCAGACTTGTGACAGCAATCCAGGCAAAGGGAAAGACAAAGGGACAAACATTGACTTCATTAATTGAAGTCAATGTTTGTCCCATTCATCACACGCTTTGCTTAGGATTCCTCTTCTCTAGCTCCCTGACTCCAGACAGCTGGAACTCGCTTTCGGATGACTATCCCAGCAGTCTTTAGGCAGTAGACGGAGTACACCCTGAACTGGTTGCCAGCCAATCACAAGGCACCATTCACACTCACAATCACACCTAGGGACAATTTCGAGTGTTCCATTAACCTGCCATACATGTTCTTGGAATGTGGGTGGAAACCCATGCAGGCATGGGGAGAACATGCAAAATCCACACAGGAAGGCCGAACCCTGAACCTCTGCCCTGTGAGGCGGACGTGCTAACCAGTCGAGCACCGTGCCACCCCATATATATTTATTTAAGCTTTAAAACATTCTTTTTTTTTTTAAGTTCACAGGTAAGTAGCCATTCTGTCCCAATACAATTCCTGTTTCTGAGTTTGTGCAAAACTGCCAAATGAAAAAATCTGGCATTCAAGCCTTTTGCTGAGTCCTGTGTAAAAAGCTGAAGACCTGCAGCTCTTGTACAGTTGCAGTTTTGCAGGGTCCCTGTACAATAGTAGGCCGTTTCTAGTCTATTCCAGCTTTTTCAGAATGGGACACTGCAAAAATCACTGCATCAGAAGAGCCAATATTCACCCCCTTCTCTGGGTTCACTGTTCACCGCTTGCAGTTTCTGCATGAAAGAAGAGTATTTCTAGTCTGTTCGAACTCTTTCACACAGGGATCCTGCAAAATTGCCACATCCGAAGATCGGACAACCATCACATTTGCTGGATTCTGTTTAAAAAGTTAAAGACAACTAAACGTGAGACAGGTTACAGCTCTCATTCTGCCACTGCAATTTTGCAGGATTTAAGCGTGTAAAATTGACTAGCCTGAAAATAATTATTAAAATCTTTCATACAAAGAATCTGGCAATTCAATGATGCAAAAGTTCTGGCATTCAAGCCTTTCTCTGGGTTTAGTGAAAAATTGCAAAGACTGCACTAACCCGTTTTGCTGGTGTCTGTTTAAATTGATAAGACTGCTAAATGCTATACATGGTTATAGCACTCCAAAGATGGGTTCTGTGTGAAAGAGAACAGAGCAAGGAGCAGGAGATTACTTTTTAAAGGCCTTTATTGATTAAATACACAGTTAAGTTTGGACAAAAGCTTCTGTGTTTTTCTTTTTAATAACATAAGAAATAGGGGACCCACTCTCGACCAAACGCCCCTCCAAAAGGTTGGGTCGCCATGGAAAGCACTTTCATTACACAGCCGCAATAAATAATACAAAAAGTAGGCAGAGGGGAGAGTGGAGGTGGAGTGGCGTATTTTTTTCGGGGTACGAGTGTGAACGCTGAGAAGGCATTTTGTGACCTGAGGACCTGACTGGAAACATACATGAAAAGCCATATTGCACATTTGTCCTTCACTCTTAAACCCTGAAAAAGTACACACGCGTCGTCGTGTTGGTCACGCCAACGTGAACATCAGGAATCCAGAATGCACAACAGAAAAAAAATAAAGTAAAAAAAGAACCATCAAACATGCTCCCGGAAGTCTGAGTGAGAATGATCCAAAAATCTGATTATTATGCAGCACCACTTCATTGACAGGGCTTCTTCAGCTGTTTTCACACAGAGACCCAAAATCGTTGCATCAGTTCCATAGTAAAAGATCCTAAATTTATCTCCTTAGCTTGGTTCAGGAATAAAATGGTAAAGACTGTATAAAAAAACGGATCTTCTGTTATGGCTCTGATTCTACAACATGACAAAATCGTCACATCAGTGTCATGAAAGATTTGGCATTTATACCTTTTGCCGGACTTCGAATCAAATGATACAGACCATATAAAAGCCAGATATTCTGTTACAGCAACTTTCTCTTTCATACAGGGACAATGCAAAATCGTCACTTTGATGCTGTAACAAAAGAAATGCAACTTATCCCGTTTGCAGCATTCTGTGTCAAAAGGTAAAGACCTTATAAAAGTTCAATCTTGCGTTATGGCAACTTTCACTTTCACACAGAGGACCTGTACTGTATATTGTGCCAATCTTTCAGGAACTATGAGTTAGAGAAACCTTCTCCAGAAATTTCGGCATTCATCCATAGATCGTGCAAAACTGTCTCATCAGGACCGTAGAAGAAGAAATTGAAAATTTTCTTCATAGTTTGATTCTGTGGTGAAAGGGGAAAGCCCGAATCGAAATAGATTTTCTGTTATATCTCTGGTGCAGCAATTTCGCAGGGTTTCTGTGTGAAATAGGAAACCGACACATCAGAGCCTTAACAGAAGATCCGGTATTTATGCCCTCGCCTTGGATCTGTGGCAAACGGTAAGAATCGGATAAATCTTCTGTTATGGTTCTGAAATGTTTCCTTCCATATGGACAGCTTGCAAAATCTGCCATAATAGAAGATCGCGCATTTCTTCCCTTGGTCGGGCTCTGTGTCAACTGTCACTTTCACATAGAGAGCCGACAAAATAGTCACAGTGGTGCCGTAACAGATGGATAAATGCCAGATTTCTGCTTGCTTTTCAGGGTCTGCAGACGGCTTGTCAATCAAGTAGGAAAGTTATACTCAGATCCGATAGGGAGTGAAGTTTGGGGGCGTGGAATACACAGTACAACAAGGTTTGGGGTTAGCACCAGAGAAAGCACCAGTAGAACACATAGTTGTTTTCTAAAAGGTTCAAAGATGATAACTACAACAACAAAAATTAGCATGTGCCGTATTATCAGCAATGGTAAGACAGACCGATTTGGAGCACCTTGTTTGATAGTTCAGAGTCCAATTCTGCCGCTTGGCTGGGATGCATCATGCCCAAAGATCCACGAGTCATCATTGTGGTTTCAAAAAACAAACAAACAAAAAAAAACATTGGGCAACATATTCATCCTTTAAGCTCAAATGGAGCATTTTGTTCTGTGTATTCATTTTTAGGAAGAATTTCCAGTTATTTGTTTAAAAAAAAAAACTTCGACAGGATGGGACAGTACAGGACAGCCTGGAGACCATCTGATTACAACAGCGCTGTTTTGAGAGGGTGGCAAGTGTCATTAAATGGATTTCTGTGGGAAAAGGTAATGACGGTTTTGGTTGGCAGGCCTTCATGTTCTAGTTCATGTGGAGACCCTGCAAAATGTCTGTGTCAGAGCCGTGTCACAAGATCTGGTATTTATCCTCTGGACCGGGTTCTATGTTAAAAGATGACATAATTCTGGGTCTTGATACAGCTATTTTGTAGGGTCTGTGAAAAATCTATAGCTGTTTCATATTCACTAACTGCATGCCCTTTCACGCAGAGAACCCGCAAAATAGCGGCATCAAGACCCAGAATTGATCTGTGGTTTAAAAGAAAATCTAGCAATTACAGGATCCCCTTCGCCGGGCTGTATGGCAAAAGATGTTGTTGGATACATGCTGGATTTTCTTTTACAGCTCTGATGTGTTCATTTTCTCTTTTACGCAATGAACCAGCAAAATCTTCACATCAGAGCCCTAACAGATTTGGAACGTATCCTCTTCGCTGGGTTCTGGTGCAAAAGTTACAGACCGAATAAATGGCTAATCTCCCACAGCGACTCCTAATCAGATTTGCTGTTCGGAGCGTGTCAATAGATAAATCTATGGCTCTTAAATCTGCATTTGATTCCCTTTCTGGACTCTATCAATTAACTAAAAAATTAACTAAATGCCAGAGGTATTTATCCCAATTAGTAGGTTCCATGTCAAAAGACAGACAGATCAATGCCGTACCTTTTGTTACGGATTTTCATTTGATCATTTGACATTCATAGCCTTAACTGGGCTCTGCGTCAAAAAACAGATATTGATAAATGCCAGCTCTGATGCCCCAATTTCCCCTTTCACACAGAATTGCTGCAAAACAGCCTCAACAGAGCGATACCTGAAGAGCCAAAATTTAACCCCTTTGCTGGGCTCTGTGTAAAATTGTAGAGCCAGACAAATGCAAGGATCTTTTTATCCAGCTTTGCTGGGGTGATTTTGCAGGATCTCATAGTGAAAGAGGAGCATGAGGACGGGAATTTTGTACTGTTACATATAAACAATTTTTAAAAAGGAGAGAAACGTGTCTTTTTTGGACATTTTGTTGAATATTTCAAGAGCAAAATTGTTGCTCTCATTCTGAAAGGATGGGACGAAAAATGGGCGGCGGAAACTTTTATGTCGCAGATCTGTTTTCTCAAAGAATAACAAAACCAAAACTTTTTTTTTTAAAGAAGATATATTCTGATATAGATAGGACTTCTGGACGCGCTCTGTTTTTAACAGTCTAAAAGTCTCTCTTACTCTTTGCCGCTCGCTCCCTATAAGCACATTGTATGTACAATATATCGAACATAAATTACTACACAAAGGCTATTCACAATGGACAATCATCAAGAGCAAATTAGATGGAAAACAGGGCAGGGCTTGGGCCAAAAAGACACATTCAGAGACATTTTACTCCATAGCTAGCTTAAGATGGACACACGTACAAAATCTTTGTCCCCCAAAAGCAAAACGAGTCGATATAAAACTTTTCATCCTCCGCTGCAATTGTCCAAAAGACGGCCGCATGAAACCCCCGCCCGCCCCGACATCTCGTTTGCATGTAAACAGAGCACCAGTGTAGTGTCTTTTTAAGTTCGTCTCTTCTTAAACTGTACAAAAGTATAAATATATGATTTATCTCCATTTCTTTTTTGAATTTTTCTTTCTTCTTCTTCACATATCACGGATGTAGCGCACAAAAAAATGGAAAAAAAAAAAAAGAAAACCCAAAAACAAAACAAAAAAAAACCCCAAAACAAACAAACAAAAAAAGGTCAAGCCAGTGTTGCGGCATCTCCCTGCTGCTGGCTTTTTGTCGAGTGTGGTTTTGTTGTGGCGTTTACTTGTTTGCACGCTGCTGCTGGTTGATCATCTTTGCATACGTTGTTTGAAAACAGCACGCCGGACAGGAACAACATCGACAAGAAAATACTAAATTTAAAAAAAAAAGGAAATTGTGTGTCCATTTGAGCTACAACAGATCCATTTTGGGTCTGTAATGGAGCAGGAGGGGCGATTTCTGGAAGCAAACAAAAGAATAAGGTTAGCACGTGTTCCTCGTTGAAATCAATTGAAATGCTGTTTATCCGCCACCCCCCATCTGATTCTACAAAGTGTAACAGCAATGTATTAGTCGTGGTATTAAGATATGGATTAAGTTGAGAAAGTCCCCATTGAAGGCCCAGATGCAACCAAGAATGCCACAAGACGGTTACCTTAAATCTCCATCTCGTTACGACGACGAATTTCAAAGTGTGGTCCTTGCCCAGGATTTCCTCATTGCATAAAATGTCCAACTGTGTGGGAAGAAAAAGAAAAAAAATCTTTTTGGTATGAACAAGAGCTGAGAGACAGAGAAGCATTTGTGACTCAAAAAGCATTTGTTACTCTCTTCAAACCAGGGTTCTTCTGAGGGCCATATACAGAAAAATAGAAACATGCAAAGGCCACTTTAAAATCAAATTGCATCATCGAGTATTTTTAGTGCCTTTTCTGAATATTTCTTTTAATTTTTTTCCAAATAATTTTTGGGAATAAATTGATTTTGTATTTGACACAAGAGGCTCCAAATATTAAGAACAGTTTTCAGTATGACGCTTATTGTGAAATACTTTTGAATTTAATAATAATAACAATACAAACAACAATAAAACTGTTTTTCATTTGACCTCGTTAAAGGAGGTCAGGTTGAGCTTTTTGGCGATGAACTTCTTGAGGTGTAGGACGGTGGCCTGAGCCGAGCATCGGATCCACTTGCGCTTGAGGCCTCTGAGCTTACTGCTGTTGCACTCCAGGCAGATACTCACCTGCCATCAAACACCGGGAAAAAAAAATGAACAATGTGATACGATCGTCCCTTGCCTGTCATTCGCCATGATTGCCACAGTGCAAAATAAAAAGCGACAAATACAGATAACCCACAAAGTTGGTCATTTTGCTGTGATACATAGTCTGTCCAGACTAAATTTGTACCTGCTCATCGCTACGGTGATAGTCGTTGTCCTCCTCTGCTTTCTCCTCTCCTGCTTCCTTATTGGGCGTGTCTTCTGACTTAGTGTCTCCTGTTTCAACACAAATACAATAGTAGAACTTATTTGGATTGATTTCATTTCTTTTTATAGCTATTTTCATCCTGGTAAAATGGTAAGTTTGATTGGGGTTGATGATGAGAGGGCCCCAAAATCGGTTCAGTCCCACACCTCAGAATTTATTGAAAATGCAGTCCCCACCTATTGGATCGATCATGTGAAGTTAAAACTTCAGCCCCCGAAACAAGTTTGACTTAGCAGCCTTCATTTTTGTATATGTGTCAATCATGAGGAGATCCGCAAAAAGTCGCAAAAATCCATGCCCGAAAAGACACAGCAAGTCTGCCAGTTTCATCGGAAGTGGACATTTTAGCCATTCACCCAAACTGAAAAATGTACCCCCCAAAGCCAGTTTCATTTTGCAACATGAAATTTGGCTATGTGTGTCTGCCATGAGAAAACCCACAACAAAAAAGGAGATGGCATGCCGAAAAAGACGCACACAGTCTGACAGCTTGCTTCAAAACAGCCATTTGAAGGATATTTTGGCCATTCAAGCCAATTGGAAAATGCAGCCCCCAAAGCCAGTTTCACTGAGCAATGTAAAATTGTGTTTAAAGGTTTGGGGACCCACAAAAAAGTTTCTAGAAGTTATGCTCAAAAAGACGTAGACAAAACATTTAAAGGTTAAATATCTTGCAGGGTTGCACACCAATAAGGTAGAGCAAATAGTGTAATGTGGACTCTACACAAGAAAACATATTTGACCATCCATTGGGAAACCTCTTTGTATTGGTTATCTCACCTGCATTGCATTTAGTGTATATAACAGCAATGACATCGACAACAAAGAGGCTCACAAGTGAATTGCAATTCTTTGTGAATTTCGCACACAGTGAATGCTTGAATATGAGACCCACTTTTCACCAATGTCATCAGGGCTGATTGTTTTCTCATGACCTTGAAAGACAAAACAAATTTGTTCCGTTCATTCCTAATCCAGTGGAAGTAATAGCAGTGCGCGTGTGTGTGTGTGCGTGTGTGTGTGTGTTTTGTGAGTAGTTTGGCATCCTAATCTAGGGGGCATTTTCCATCTGGGCAAACTGCCACAGATCCCAGAGAGCGTTGCCTAACGGTGTGTGTGTGCATGCATGTTTTTGTGGCGAGCATGTGTGTCGTGCAGTCTCCACGGTGACCGTCTCCAGAGTCAACTTGCTTGATTGCGGATCAAGAGGCCCTCGCTCTTGTCATTACAGCAGTGAAATCACCTTCACACAACCTCATGGCTCCACATTAGGTCATGGATCGGTTGCTTTAGTCTGTACCGCACCGCTCCTATGTTTACATAGCATGAAAATTATGTGAAAGGTTTATTTAATGGTTGAGATCCACTGAAAGGGAAACTTCAAGATGTCTGCACTTCTCTCGCAAAGCAGTCAAAATAAGAAAAGACTCTTTGGTTTTATTAGGTGTCGAGAAACTAAAACAGCGACAAAAAATAAGAAAAAGGCAGAGCGGGGTGGCCATCTGGAATTTCTGAAATGTTGGGATATTTCCGGGCCGGTCCTGGCCATTGCGGTGGACAATAGCCGCCCTCCCTGTCACGGATTACTGTCATCAATTACAATTCAGTGCATGATGGCTCTAAAACACCAACTTTTCAGCAGATGATGGCCAAGCAGCCCTCCTAGCCCCTCCGCTGACAATAATTTTTCGACACGCCTTCAATAACTATTTGCGGGGCCGACTGTTGGTCTCATCATGTCACTGGAACCAGCTGACTTCACTTTGTTTTCATCAACCTAGTGCTGACAACCTCTTGTAAAGCATGAAAAACAACGAAACATCCCTGAACTTATTTTAATGAACAGTGTGTCAATGACATCAGGAGAAACAACAAAAACAATCCCTGCCCCACAAAAAAACTGAAAATTTTACTGTTTTACCGAACTGAGAATAGACAAAATTTAACGAAGCTTTAAAAACAAAAACTGATCGCGCATACTTTGTTTTAATGGACAATGTGTGGACGAATTATAGCAATGTGACAATAATGAGAGAGCCAGCTGGCTTTACTTTATTGTGAACGAACAGAGAAGCAACAACCATTGCTCAGTGAAATTGAGAGCCGGCGGCCCTTATTTTATCTTAATGAACACAGTGTCGACAATCTCTGGCAAAGCAGCGAAAAAAATTCGACAGTCGGCCTTACTTTGTTTTAATTTAATACATAACAGCGACCTCGATCAAACCAGCAAAACAGGAATTGACTACTCTAACCTTCTTTTTAATGAAGTGACCTCTGGCAAAGTGGAAAAAAATGAGAATTGTCTGCATTACTTTGTTTTAATAAACTGAGTGCCGTAAACCGTTAGCAACGCAGCCGAGCGGTATCGCTTCATTTACCTGAACAGTGCTGAAAGCCTGTAGCAAAGAGCCAACAACAAGAACTGACCACCCGAACTTAGTTTTAATGAAGTGCAAAGGTCCTCTAACAAAGTGGCAAAAATGAGGGGACAGCCTTAACGTGGTGACAACCTCTATAAAGGCAGTAAAAAAAACAAAAAAAACGCCCCCCCCCCCGGTTTTACTTTGTTTGATTTAACCAGATGACGGCAGTCTCTATCAAACCAGCAAAACCAAGAACAGACTGCCTTTACTTTGTTTTAATAAACTGAATTTTGACAACTTCTTAAAATGGTGGGGACGACCCTTCCTTTGTTTGAAACTAACATGTCGACAACGTCCTGCCGCGCAACCAAAAACGTCATGATCTCTGGCCTAGCAATGAAAAAAGAAACGTCCGGCTTTGCTTTATTTCAATTACCCAAACGTCAACCATCTCTGCTCAGCTGCCAAGCGACAAAAATAAAAGAGCCGGCAATCTTCAAAGCAGACTTGTTCAATGGAAACGTCACTCTGCTGCTGCTTCTGTTTTCCAGCTTCCACCGAGTGACTCTCAGAGGACTTGTGAAGCGCTGCAGCGTGAGCAATAGTTGAATTAGATTCATTTCTAACAGCTGCTCTTGTGGAAGCCCAGAGGACGTTTATGTTCTTCTTTTGAGGGCTTCTGGTGGTGGTGGGTGGGAGCTTAGTGGCGTGTGTCATTAATTATGTGCAGTGCTGCGCTGCCCCCTGCAGTTAGCATGGTGTGATCGCTGCTTTAGTGACCGTTCCCTTTGTTTGGCCGTCCTCAAATAAAAGCTAATGAAGGGCAAGAGACATTCGGACGGAAGACAAAAGAAAGAAAGCCCTGTAAAGCAGCAAACCTGTTCCGTTACTGTATGTGAGAAAATACTTCAACACAAATTCAACAACATCTATGCATCTATTATCCAAACCGCTTGTCCTCACCGGGGTTGCAGACCAATTTCATTTTGTTTCATGAAGTCTCAACAAATTCTGAAATGCGGTGAAAATGAGAGCTGTCCACATTTGGTTTTAATTAACCAAGAGGACATTGACAGTCTTTAGCATAGCAGCAAAAATGACAACCGACAGGCCCTGCTTTGGTTTAATAAACTAAGAGCTGCAATCTTTTAACCAAGTGGAAAAAAGTGGTTTCAGGGGCAGAATTTTTGAATGTATGTGAAAGGGCAAAATAAGAACCAAAAAATTCCAGAGGTTGCGAGCAAGCCAAAATTGAGAGTCGGGGTTGTGGGGGGGCTAGTTCGATGCAGCGCAATGAAGATGAGGATGATGTTGGACCGTACCATTGCGATGGTCGAGATGCGTCTTGATGTTGCAGAGTTCCCCTTTAATGTCGCCAGGCACCTCCATGCCCAATTTCTGGTAGAAGTCCCGCTGCTTCTTTATCTCCGCTAGACAACCAACAGGAGGAAAGATGATGTTCATAATCTGTAGTTTTATTCATATTTTTTTTAACAAATATTTCATTTTTTTCCATTCTGAAAAAAATAAACATACCCTCTTGTAGTCCGGGTACCAACTTGTACACAATGTCTTGCATTGTTCTGTCATGGCTGCCAAGATGACGACATATTGTGTTCATAGCAAGCCAGTACACAGGCACATACATATACAAAACAGCGGAATTCCCTCAGGGCCTTCAGACTATTTACATTAATGCCAATGGGCAATTTTTTTATTCCAATATTTTAAAATACACGGTACTTGACGTAAGCATTTTTCTTTACTCTGTGTGTGTGTGTGAGACTCACCCAATATACTGCAGTGGATGGCTCTGATGAATCACAATTCTACACGTGGGACATGTGTTGTTCTCCTCCAGATACTTCACAAGGCAGCTTCGACAAACTGCGCACAAACAAACAAACCTAATATTAATCGTTAAAATTTTAACTCTTCGGCGGCGGAGGTTCATCCTCATCACATTCATCCGGCCTTCCTGTGTGGAGTTTGCGTGTTCTACCCGTGCCTGCGTAGGTTTGCTGTGGGTCCTCCGATTTCCTCCCAAATTCCATAAATATGCATGGCAGGCTGATTGAACACTCTAAATTGTCCTGGTTGTTCGTCTCTGTGTGCCCTGCGATTGGCTGGCAACCGGTTCAGGGTGTCCCCCGCCTACTGCCCAAAGACAGCTGAGATAGGCTCCAGCATTCCCAGGACCCTCGTGAGAAGTGGTTTGGAAATCCAGACACAGAGGGCACATGCAAACTGCATACAGGAAAGCCGGAGAGCATATTCGAACTCTTGACCTCTGTACTGTGAGGCGGACATGCTACCCAGCTGTCCTCTGTGCCACCCATATTACAAAGATAGATAAGAGAAGATAAGAAAACCTTTCTTTGTCTCGCAATGGAGAAATTCCCAATTTACAGCAGCAAGATAGAGAGAAAGATAACACACGCATGCACGCAAGTATTCACACAGATGGGGATCACATACATGTGGGGCTACATCATGAACAAACTTTTCCCTTTGTCAGGTTGGTAACAGATTTGAACGGCACGGTGATGACTTCGCCGTCAAACCTCTCTACACTTGACCTGTCTTCCACAAAAGACGTACTCCTTATGAGAGCTTTATTGCAGTCAGACAGCTGCAGTGGGCCGACGTGACCTGAATGTCTCTTGAAAAGATTCCACTGGGAGGCCCGCGGAGGCGGTTTCAAGTAGGACGGCTCTCTCTAGTGGACGTGAGAAGGACTTACATCAATGTGCATATAAAGTGTGTACATACACGTGTGCAGGCACTCTGTGACGGTGGTAGCATCTATCAGGTAGCCGTCGCACAGCCGACAGGTGATGTGGGCATTGATGTGACAGAGCTTGATCTTCCTTGTCAGCATGTCGGGGTTCTGTGGCAGACATAAATTGAGATAAAATAAAATGAGATGAAGAAAGATGCCCTGCAGTCGTCATGGCAACAGAATGCAGCTGCTCTCTGCATGCAGATGCATGCAGGCAATGTAGTCATACTGCCATCTTGTGAAAGAGGAGAGGAGGGGACACATGATGCCAAATCTGACAAACCAGTACGTATAGATCAGCAAGTTAAAGTAAGGTGGTACCTCAGTTCAACGCTTGGTAGGCAGTTAGGTAGATAAACAGCAACATGGATGCATAGGTGTGTGGGCAGATAGAGCGTAGATGTGGATGGAGTAGCACAAAAATTTTTGTCAAGTAAAAGTACTGTTATTATAGAATATGAATCAAGAAAATAAGTTTTTGTCTACGTAGTTGTCTTCCTAATAACTGAATACGAATAAAAAATACATTAAAAACTTTTTTAAATGGCACATTGTCAGATACACAAAGATTTTAAATGGAATACGGAAATCCATATATTGTAGCACACTATCACTTTGAAATAATAGTTTTAAAAAACCTAAAATGAATGAAGGCAAGCTCAGTCAGCCACAAAAAATGGTAAATAAATTAACTTACCGTAATTTATTGACATACGGGAAACAATAACATTGGCTCACTAGGAAGAGATCATTAATCATTTAGCTAGAAATTATATTCAATTTCAACGGTTGTATTCACACCATTTTTTAGCAACGTTGACAGCTATTTCGTTATTTAAAAACAATGTGTATTCTACCAACTGACAACTTTATCTTCGGTGCCATGCACAGATTTCGGATTGCCTTTCTCCTTCATTATAAAATGCGCACAACTCTGCGTCACAGCGAGGAACAGAGAACTCAAACGGACTGTGTGGGTCGAACGCAGTACAATTTGCATTCACGTGCTGCTAGTTTTACATTTGGCAAACAAAGACCAAAAAGGCCTCTTGTATAAGTCACATTGAAAACACTTAACAGTTTTAATGACTAACTGTTTCTGGTCATTTAAAACTTAGTATAAGGCTGAATGAAACAGACTATGTATGGTCTCTACCAAGCGCCATTTTGAATATGATGAGGATGGAAGAGCTTCATTGCTCACGTAGAATACATCACAGCAAGTAAACAAATTTGATTGGACGGTTTGTTTTGAACCAAGGCCCAGCCGCGGTGAAGGGCTTGATCTCTAGACCTGCTTTCTTAGCCGGTGTGGCTTGCCAGGCTAATCTAAGTGGCTATCCGGCAGCTATGTTACTGTGTAGGTAAGTTTGCATGTAGCTCAGTATGTAGCTTGCTAGCTAGATACGGTAGGTAGATAGACAGGTATGTAGGTAGCTCAGAAATTCGGTAGCTCGTAATGAAGTGGCAAGTTACTGTAGAACAGTACCGATATGTACCTCACAAAAGAAGCTACGAATATCAAGGTAGTTATCAGACAGGTATGCTATGCTCGCACAACACCCAAGCGTTATACATGGTTTTGTACCAATAAAATACGTGATTTCAAAGCCTTGTCTTGCTGTTCATGACGTTGAATTGTCCAGTTGTCCGAAGTGTAAACATCACATCTTTAAAAATTCCCAATATGCCGCCTAAAATCTCCAACGTGTTGAATTGAACCAATGCCATAGAATATGTAAGTCAAGTAAGTTTTATAAGACTTAATGTTGAACGTGTACACACATCTGATTTATTGACGTGTGTGACCGTGTGTGCGTGCACCTCCATAGCATAGTGGCTGTTTTATAAGGCTAAATGAGTCTGAGTGCACATGGTGCTTAGCGCACACACATGATTTTTGAGTCGTAAAAATGTGTCCATATAGGCCGATCGAACAGACATACTCTGGCACCAACAGTGATCACAATTTTCGGCGATGGGTACCGTTTTTTTGGGTTGGGGCACCCGCCCCCCAAAATGGCTGTGCAAAGGTACTGTTTCGGGGCAGGGGAAAAAAATAAACATACCCAACCTTAAATATGTGCATTCTGTGAAACAATAGGATAGTGGACATTTTAAATCCAGTTGACGAGGAAATTAAGAATTATGGCTGTGTAGTCCTCCTCACCCCTAATACCGCCATGCGTGTGCTGTGGATGTTGCGCCGTCCACGTCTCTTCCTGCAGGTTGAGCAGCCGGTGGCGTTAGCTCCACATCATGGGGAGTCTCTCATTCGAGCCTGAGCACGGGGAAAGAAAAAAACACCAACAATAGTTTTTGAAGATGTTTTCAATCGTCTTATTCAGGATGACCGGCATCTTGCACAATACAAATAAACAGAAAAACAAGAAAGAGAGTCCACCGATGCATATTAGCGGTTTGGCAAAGCATTGGCGGATTAACCTATTCGTCAATTGTTTTCTATATTTTTTACTTATTCAATTTTGGAGGGGAGGACAATTCTCGTTTTTCATAGAAAATGCTTATTGCCAGGATGTTTTGAAGAATTTCTGGAGTTTTAAATGTTTTTTTTCTCCCCAATGCAATTATTACAGGCATCAATTTTTCTGTGATTTTTTTCACGCTCATGCAGGCATCATACAATATAAAAACATGATACATACTTTCACGTTATTTGTGACAACAGTTATTATGCACAACAGAAAAAAACAGTGCTACCAGTGCCAAAAACAAACGGACGGAATGGATGCTCGATCGTGCATGTGTGGGCACAACATTGACATGTCATAAAATGATAAGAACATCCCTTGGCAGTGATTCATGATCAGTGCCAACTTGCACAATAGAAATCAACACATTGAGTAGAAATAAATAGGATTAGCGATCGGAAAAAAAAGTCACATGACTCACTTAAATTGACCAAAAAAAAATTGGTTGACATAGGCTCAAGCAAATTTTTTTCTAGACATTATGTTCACGTTCATAGTCACTCCTGTTCCGATTCTCATTTTGTAAGTATTTTGGTTTGTTCTGACTTAAGTTTCGCGTACTTGGATTTTTGGCATTTCATTTTGTGTATTTTCGGATTTCCAGTTCACCAATTTAAGTCTATGCGTGTATGTGCACAATTTAGGCGTGTGATAATGTTATACAAACTCTAGGGATCATTACATGCCAGTTATTCATGACATTGCCACTTTGCATAGTAGATATATACATAATAAATGCAGCATGGTTGACTAGGAGTATTTTACTATGAAATGAGTTCCACAGTGGCAAAAGCGCACACACACACTCAAAAGAGTTCCTTATTGCTCTGCCTGTGGCCATTGGAGTGTTTTTCCTTGCTAAAGTTTTGCACAGCACATGCACGCACACACACGAAGGCCTGCTGTCACAGGCAGGAGGAGGCAAGCTTCTTCTTGTAAGGGGGTTTTGGCTCAGCTTCAGAAACACACATACACATTCACTCAGACCCAAGTGTAACGATTCACACGTTTGCAATGGTAAAATCAAAACCGTCCGACACGCACATGCACGCATGCACACACAGTTTTACTTCGTGTGAAGGCAAATATCATAATGGCTGTTATGCAAACAGATAGCAACCCTGAGCGTTTTATATCTTGCCTTGTGGCCAAGTACTATGCCATGTTTTTCTCAGATTCGAAAAGGGAAGTGAATCTTAATTGACCTTCCAGTAAAACTCTTCCCTGCTAGCTCTATAGTAGCACTCATGTTAAAAGCTTCAGGGGATTCCGACCGGCGCCACCTGCCCCAATACTCACGCAGTAAAAAGGTTCATGAACGAGCCTGTGCCGTTAGCATTTCATTTTCCAAGCTATTGACTATCACAACGGGCACATTGAGGCAAATTTAAGACAAAGGGACTTCAAATTCATTGAAAAATGGCCAGGCTACGTAAGCTAGAACAGTGAAACCTCCACTTTCCAACTTAATTCAGTCCATGACCGTTTGTAACCTGAAATGTTTGTAATCCTAAGTAATTTCTCACTGAAAAAAATGGTGATGTAATGAAAAACATCATAAGCTAACTTCTATTTACCTTTACCTTTTTTTGTAAGTGTATGGTTAAAAATATACCAGTAAGTTAAAACACACTACTACATTAAAAAAAGCAATATTTTACTGCTCATTAACAGTGGGAGGAGGACAACAGATCTTCAATTGAAGAGTCTTCGTCATGAATAACTCTGGGGAACTGATTCAGGTTTTTATTTCTAATCTTGAATTTGGCACAACAGACCGATCCAAGGAAACCTGTTCATAAACAAAAAAAATTCTATTCAACTTGTTCACCTGTGGCATGTTCCAAATCGGTGTTTGATGAGCATTCCTCAACTTTTTGCCCATTTGTGACACGTTTCAGATTTTTTCATGCAGTGTCAATGGTACAATTCTGATTATTTTCAAATCCAACCGGAGCCTCTTTCTTATGTTGATATAAATTGAATGTGTTTGATGCCTCTGCCGTATGAATTCTCATCCGAACACATCCGACTTGTATGACATAAAAAGTGCACTACTCACATTTGTCCATGAATCAGCATTGTTTTGAGTACCAGTGTTGACTTTACATTTGTGCAGAATTTAAGCCCACTTGAAACATGAAACATGAATTGGTGATTCATCCATGCGCACGGTCCATTTATTACAAGCAGCAATGATGTGACGACATCTTTAGTTTTAGTCTCCTTTAAATGAGGCGATCGAGGAGCATCTGCCGCATATCCCCAAAATATTTTCACCTCCTCCTACCTCGCTAATCTGGCAATATGAGATGATACAATGAGCCCCTCCACGCGGGACCATATTTACTTCCATCAACACCACGTGATGCCTTTTTGGTTAGAAGTTGCATTTGTTTTTACAATATGAATAGATACATAAAAAGATCGTATTTAACTACAAAACTGAATTGGGCATAATGCCCTGCAGCCTTTTTGTACTACTTCATTGCTTTTTATGTATCTCGGTTCTGCGAACATTCACTATGAACTTGGAGAATAACTGCTTTGAGTGTCAGAATTGAGCGTGATACCAGCGTACCGAATCTGTATCTCTGCAATGCAAGATATCTAAAATCTTGCAATGGCGAAATGACAACTTGCTTGAATTGGCTATACGTTCACACAAACATGTCAGTGTGTGCACATCAGAGTATGAGTATGAGAGTATGAAAACTGAAACAATCACATTTCCTAAATCTAGTCAGAAATGTACTTACTCAGTGTGAAATCGGGTCTTGTTTAACTGAACACAAAGCTGATGTATTTGCAGGGAGCCATCCTGTTGGGCGAATGGCAACAGTTAGATACACAGTTTGATTGTCCCTTTGCCATTCAAAGGATGAACATGTGTGATTTTTCTGCCTGCCACAATAACCCGCTGGCATTGAGAGAAAACTATGGAGTTCTGGTTAGGGCTGTTACAAACCAATCTTTTTAGAGTCGATTATCCCATTAATTACTCGAGTAATTGCACCCCCATGAGTATGGATCTCCAAATAACAGTTAAGTTTGCCAAGGTTGATGTACATGTACATTCTCTGTTGTTCAAAGTAAACAATATTTTCAAATTAAACCAGGCATAGGTGGAGCACTCTCTCACAACGGGCCAAGTGCTTGTCGTGGCCTTTTAGGTTGCTCGCATAGCCCACAGAGGACATGAGCACTTCTTCACGTCATGAGCGAACCCATGACCCGCTGCAACCACGGACGTGCATTACATTGGCCTGCGATTCATTTTCGTTGATGTATTAAACATTTTCCCCCAAGAATTCACATCAGGACACACTCACATTGGGCTCTGCTAGCGATGTGTTGAGAGCAGACGTGTTCAGCATTCTTCCTTTTGAACACAAATGACTTTCCATTTGCAGCTGTCACACATCTTAACATGATATCCAGTCTACAAACACCATGCAGTACTTTCCAATTAAGCGATGCTGGAGTAACTACATTCTCTCTCTCCTGTGGTTGGGAGGAAAGAAATTTCATCTGTGCTGTATGTTGCACATAGAGTGCATTTGATAATAAGGTTGACTTGAACTAACGTAGCGGTGGATCGCAGGCTAATATAGAAAGCCTTGCATGTCAGTTTTTGTTTTCCCCGCATAGTGTGATGTCCTACATGGGCCCCAAAGCTTGTTCCTCGACATTGAATAATAGGGTGACTGAGCAAAACGCCCCGGCACTCCCTGACCAGCGCGCTCTAACTCCCTCTTCTGCCCCAAATATTAGACATGCCCTCGTGACATTCTTGTGGAGCTTTGTGTCTTGTTTATTACAGAGGTGACAAGTGCAGTGCTCTTAGAAGTTTTGCTGTAGGTTGTATCACCCCAAAAGGGAAACCAATTGATCGTTTATCCTTGAAAAGTTTTTTTTTTTTCATTTGTATTTATAATTGTCTTTTCATCAAGCAAATATTTTATGTGAATATTTGATGAGATATCATCAAATTTCAGTAGGATACTCAAATACGAAAATATTAAATAGCTGCATCCCTCCAAACCCTCCACCCCCTCCCCATTTGTTTCAGGTCACACTGATCATCACACACACACACACACACACACACACACGCACACGCACACGCACACGCACACACGCACACGCACACACGCACACACGCACACACGCACACACGCACGCACACACACACTACTGCTAACTCTAAGCCAAAGACAGGTATCATCTTGGGATACCTTTTTCAAAAAAAAAAAAATTGGATGTCTTCTTTTTGTTCTTAATTGCAGAGCATTGCAGAGGTCTTTGATCGGGACTTTGTATCAATACTCAACATCAAATAAGTTAAAAGACTCAAGTGCAAACATCCCTAGTTGAAACACACTTTTAAAATGATACAAACACATTTATACATGCATAATATATGAAGAGAGCAAGATCAAGGAATGATCCAAAAATATTGTACAAAGAATGCAACAATGTGCAGGGTTCCCACACTTTTTCAAAATTATGTTGCTGGACATTTCCAGGATTTTTCCAGGACTAATTGATGCTATGGTATGAGTCCAGTTATCAGAACATACATGAATACATTCTACTCCTAAGCTTTGAGAAATGTTATTTTCTATTATTGTATCTAATATTTTGTGCATTTAACCAGAGAAAGACCAGATATGATCCCAAATCGGCCGAAAAAAATAAATAAAAAAATACAACAAACGTCTCTCTCAAAGCTGTGACTCGATTCTCGTCGTTCACCCCAAAAGAGCAGCTCAAATGAACACCTCATTCGCCAATGTCACAACAGTAATATACGGTCTTATTTGGATGTCAACGTTTAAATGATTTTTATTTCTTAGTAAATCAAGACGATGGACTACAGCTGATTGACAAATGAGTTGTTGATGGGTTGGAGAGAAGCCAAAGCCCATGCGAGCATCCTTGGCACTGCCGCAGCCAGGTTGATGAGTGAAGGGACGCAACACTAGCTAAAAACCGCACGAAAGGTTGGAGCTCTGCACATACACAATATTTTAATACAGCTGAATTTGTCTCAATCACATATTTTCTGCTGTCGGACAATTGAGCAAGTATGAAATACTGGGTGAAACGTGGTCCAGTTCCCTTCGCTATCTCAAAGCTGTGGTCACGGTTGCTGCTGCTCGACTGACGCCAGAGATGTATTTCACTTCAGACCGCACTCCCACGACAGCTCTCTGTCACTCAACAAAGCAGACAGAGAGAAGGAGAAAGTCCTCACACTTGATATACAGTACTACAGCGACACTCAAACTGAAAGCTGCTAGTTTTGGCGCTTCTTTAGAAAAAAAAAACAAGTGACAACTGAAAAAGTCACGCCTGCATGAGCGTACGTGTGTAATCCAACTGCACCAATGCTTCTACTTTTTTGGTTTTATTTTGTTCCGAACACGGTTATGGGCAGTTGCTGGCTTGCTGTGTTTCTTCATTTGTATACCTGGGTTGCTACACCAATGTCAGAATGCCACTCCACTACCAATACATTCCGGACAGAAAGGGAAAATGCAGATGTTCTCAGCAAGGCGAGCAGCGTGCTGTGTACTGACAGAACACACCCGCCAATCAGCGGCTTACAAAACGATAACGAGGCTCCGATTGACTGGATCAGCACATACGGGTCTCTTTTTGTGGCACACAATTTAGACTCAAAACACCACAACATTAATAACACCGACAAAAATAAATAAATAAATATATAAATCTCCAAACTACCCAGAACGCGTGATCGAGGGGAGCGGGGTTTACTGTATTTACTCACAAAAGGTCTGTATTGAAATCAATTGCTTTCTTGCATGCACACTAAGAAGCTGTCAATTTCCACCTGTTGTCCCACTAAACGGCCGGTGTCAAAGTGTCGCTCTTTCCGACAGGCTGTTAACCTGCTGACCTCCAGGCTCGTGACACCAGTGACAGCGGTAAAGGGGTGACACGTGGAGTTACTAAATATCAATCCAATTGAATGGTCCGAGGACAGATAAATACCTGCTGCAAACAGACACTTTACCCCCTTTTACGCTGCTGAACCAAGCTGGACTTTTCAACGTCACAGGACAGGATATACTATAACTGGATGCAGATGATAAAACTTCCCTTTCACAGATATGTCATCCTACTTCTGATCATACCCCACAGTAGGATTGCACAATAAAATAAGAACGATAATACATTGGATTTACACAGCGCTTATTTGTACACTCAAAAACGCTTTAGAGAATAAGGGACAAATGCTGATGACAAAAAGAGAGACAACAATAAAATGATGGCAGACAAGACAAAAGCCCACTTAAACAGGTGGGTTTTTGAGAAGGAATTTGAAGTTTTCTAGTAAGTTCCTGACTTTGACCAATCAGATGTAACTTTGAATGCACAACAACATACAAAAGATGAACAGTACGTAGGAGCGAAATGTTTCCTCGCCCACTGGGGCAGGATCTCTTTCAAGCATGGGTCCTCTACCAGAGGCCTGGGACCTTGATGCTTCTGGGCAGGATCATTGCGCTTTCCACTATTGCATGGAGATGACACATATCCATATCCGATTAAACACCTCCGGATGGACATTCGTTGAGCAGTACAAGAGTTCCCTGTTTTAGACGGGCCGTAGCCCTAGTGTCAGCCGAATCCGACCCACAGCATTGCACTCTGGGGCGCGTTCTGAAATATTCTCCGAGGGTGCACGTTCACACCATGCGGTCAGAAACTCAATGCTCTTCTCAAATTTTCCATTTACCGGTAGTTCTACAGAGTGGCTCTAAAACAGAGTGGCGGTGCCCGCACTTGGTGGTCTGAATGGAGTTGGTACACAGTGTGCCAGTGCTGGCTGCGCTCACAAATGAATTCCTCACCGAACACACCTGGTCTCAGAGTTGTGCACGGGCGTCACAGTGAATTTCCGAATGCGTCCCAAGTCACAATCAGACTAAGTACAATATGAATGAAATATGGTATTAATGAGCCTTTCCCCGCCCCTCTCCACCCCCAAAAATGTCCTAAACTTACATTGTGTGAATAGTAAATGCAACTATCAGTACTTTGTGCCAGTCTTCCGCAAATACGCATTTACAGTGCACTGCGGAGGAGCAACTTTGCACATGACATTACATTACAACATAGACAAAATGTGTTTTTTGTTTTTAATTTTGAATTTTTTTTTAAAAATCCATAATTATCAATATGAACGCAGGAAAAACTCTGTATGATTGATATCGACCAATATAAAATAGTTATATTGTGATATACTTTTCAGACATATTGATCAGCCCTATTACGCAGTAACCGCAGTGGTCGCCAACTGTCAAAACAAAATCAAGGAGAAAATTGCATTGGTGGTTTGGGCTAATGCCAAATATAATGCTAACAAAATTGGAAGAGGTTCTCATCCAACTTGTCTGTGTCAGGTTTGTACTGTAATTACTAAGAAATCCCTGTAGATGGCGGCAAACATTGGATGTAGGACAAGTTTAAACATCCCACATTTACACATACATACACAGAGTATGTACAGTATATGTATTGTGTGAACAGACCCTGTGTTGCAGTGGGTGGGACAAAATGTGGTTGCAATCCTGAGAAAAGATGGGGTACTTCATGGAGTAAATGTCACACCCCATGTAAATAGCCACTGATGTTCAACTTGAGCCATGTGATGCGTCAGTGTCGCTCACAGCCCATTTTCAAATTGTATATCTGTATAATCTGTCTTGTTTTTGTTGTTTTATAGTTTGAAGTGTCACTAAAGCAAAAAATAAATATTAGCTTCAAAGTCATTGTTCTGCTTGGCATGTTTCTTTTCACGGGAAGCACAATTTCTCCACTTACTCTTGTTCAGCTGATTACTACAGAACAAAAAACTCTAGAAACAAACTTTTCTGGCAAAAGAGAGACTGCTCTGTTTGTTCGGTTCAGTGTTTATTGTGTCACGGAACACAATATTCTGTGGTTCTTGAAAGATCAGTCAAAATGTTCTAAAACAGCTGACAATATGGCTTACTCTGTTTTGAAAACGATTGGCAGTGAAAATTTTCAGATAAGAATGATAAAAGCCATACATGGCAATCAAAGCTAATTCTAAAAACAACACTAACATTAGATTTGGTGTTTTTTGGTTTTGGTGGCTTTTTCTTTGATGACACACGTTGAAAGTTAAAAGCTTAAATTAAGGTGTTAATTTGAATTTAACACTTGAAAGGAACTCCTATTAATTGTGCACTGTCAGCAAACTTTGATGACTAATACTACTCAACAGTGTTTTTAGCAACAGCGCTCACTTAAAACCAAACGAAGCAGCTCAGCGAAAAGTTTTTTTTTTTTTGACAACCCTTTTGTGCAAGCACACACGTCAACTTAGCACGGTAAGCATCACAAAGCCTTCAAAACCGACAACACCAAAAAAAAACTGCAGACTTGTTGGCTGCTGTGTGTGTGCGTTCACCCCCCTCCCCCCCACGCACGATGTCACAATCTACACAACAGAAGCACGTCCATGAAAAACAGCACAAAAAATAATACACAAAAACAGAGGGGGGGGCTGCAAAGAACTACCCCCACCCCACCCACCAATCCCATTTAATCCAAACCTCATGAAGAAGCAACCCCACAACAACTTCAGTGACGGGCCTACAGGCGGGAGTAGCAGCGCAGAGGAGCGAGAGAACAAGACGAGACACGCCGGCCAGACGAGCCTCAGCCACGGGGAGGACCACCGCGTGCATCCCGGCCGAGCTCCGAGTCTGTCTGGCTGCCTTCCTCTCCCCCTCCTCGGCGTGCAACTACAGGGCCCGGCGCTACCATATACCCCACATAGACTTCCCCCCCCCACACACATTCACGCATCACGTATGGATAGCATGATTGGTAGCAGCCAGCGGCAAGCCATGCTAAAAACGAGGAGGAGGTGGTGGAGGAGGAAGGAGAGTGAGGAGGGTACACACCGGTACCCGAAACCGGCCACCAAGGCTAGGGTGGAGGGACTAGGGGAACATGGGGACCGGTGGCGGCGACGACGGGTGCCCGAATGCCGACTCACCTGATCTCGGAGCGCCGAAGTCGGCTGGATACTTGGTTGGATCCGAGTTAAATCCACTCGCAGTACAACAAAGAGGCGAAAATGACCGAGCAACCGCGGAACAGGCCGAAGTAAAGCGCTCCTGGAGCAGCGCCGCGCATGCGCAGAGCGAGGAAGGTGGGAAGCGGGAGAAAGAGGAAACTCACCCTAAGAAATAATTACTAAAATAATAATATACAGTACCTTTTAAGAACAAAGAGTTACCCTGTTTATGTTAAGTTCAGAGCTACATCTTATTTGTTCCTGTTATATTGAATTACAACTTTTCATTTTAATGAAACATCAAACTGTTCATTGCACGTATTATTTCCTGAATGGCTGCAAAAAAAATCACATGGATTGTCAGACTCGTTGTCGTCGTTCTCTGCCCTTTTAAATACAATTAAAAAATGACACTGTATATCTATTCTCGATCCTTTGTGTCGAAGCGGTGTGTCTATCCATTCTAGAGCAGGTTCTCAAACTTTATCCCAAGTACCACTTCAAAAAAATAATTGTTTCTCCAAGTATCACCATCATAACCAACATTAAAATACAGAAGCACATTAGGCCCAAGTGTGGCAGAAGTTTTATTGCTAAAAAGTAGAAGTGTAACAAAAAAAAAAAAACGATTTGGATCAATCAGCAAAATCATTTTGGATTAAACACGTGAGTGCATTGAATCGAACCAAATCGTTCCACTTTAAAATAAGGGTTCTACTATAACAGTGGCCCCGTACCCAGTTCAGATTCAGTTAGATTTCATACGGAATTAAAAAAAATACAATACATACATCTTTATTTAAATAGCACTCTCACAACAGCTGGAGTTTTAACAAAGTGCTTTCGAGAACATTTACCATTAACATAAAGTAACAATAATATAACAAAACACATAAAAAATATCAACAATAAAGTTTAAAGTTGGAACATTTTTAATTGGTCAAAATGTAGAAATTAGAGGAGAAAAACATCCATCCATTTATTTTGTAATCCGCTTATCATCATAAGGGTGCCTATCCCAGCTGTCTTCGGGCAATAGGTACACCCTGATTTGGTTGCCGGCCAATCGCAGAGCACACATTGATGAACAACTATCTATGCTTACACTCACACCTAGGGACAATTTAGAATGTTCCATTAACCTGCTATGCATGTTTTTGGAATGTGGGAGGAAACTGGAGAACCCGGAGAAAACCCACGCAGGCACAGAGAGAACATGCAAACTCCACACAGGAGCCGGAATCGAACCATGCACCTCTGCACTGTCAGGGTGACGTACTAACCAGTCGACCACCGTGCCACCCCGGGGGTGCAGTTTTATATGTATTTTTTGCTTGGGGCGGAAGGTATTAGAAAATGGATGGATGGATATAAGTGGTGAGCGTTGAGATTTGGACCTGGGCTTTGAGTATTATTTGGTGATCTAATCCCCCTCTTTCTAACGCCATAACGTCACAAAATGTACCCCCACGCACCCCCCCCCAAAAGAAAGACATTATCAATGGCTACATTGACGCTGCAGAGCGTGTTACAAAACTGTTCCTAAAAACACCTTTGCAGATTCATCGACGATTGTCTGTTGACCTCCCTTCCATGCACTCACTCCCACGCATCGATACGAAAGAGGCCGATGTGTGCCATTAAAGACCGTTTCATGTCTTTGAGGCTATGACCAAAAGAAAAGAAACAGTTAGGTTGAGTTTATCTTCCAATACATCACCTCAAGAACGCCAATCATCTCCAGTTCAATATAGTACTTCACAATTAATCGTCATAAATATGAAAACTTTAACCCTAGAGAACCCTAGAAAATGATGAATTATACATTAAATGACTGCTTTATGTTCACTGAACACCCAAATGTGTTTTTTTTTCAAATATTCAATGCTTTAATCCTAATTTAAGATTAGGGCCAAATTTGACCCTTTGGGATTTAAGGGTAGCATTTGAGTAGCAGAATTTATAGGGGCCAAATCAGACCCCATGGGTTCTCCAGGGTTTTAAATAAATAACATCGTACTATACTCACCAGAGATGCTAATGTTGAAGCGTGTCTGAGTGTGTGTGCGTGTGTGTGTGTGCGTGTGCGTGCGCGCGTGCGTGTGTGTGTGTGTGTGTGCGTGCGCGCGCGCGTGTGTTCGTGTGTGTGTGTGTGTGTGTGTGTAATTTTAATTAATAAGCAAAGAATACATTGAGACTGTTAATTTCGACACATGAAAAAAAATGTATTTCATTAGCTAATACAAAGGTCATTTATTTAGGTACATGTTAAATATTGCAATATCTATATCGCAATAATCAACACCCATATCGCATTTTGTATGTTTTTTCCAATATCGTGTAGCCCTAATAAGAGTGCGAGAGTGTTTTTGTGCTTGCTGATCCCAGCCCAGTTGTACAACATCTTTTGTTAATAGAAGATCTCTGTTACAGTCAATCCATTGACAAGAACAAGTGATGTTTATTTGACGTCGCTTATCTTGTATGTCTTGTCTTTCTTGATTTGAAGTTGCTTGTTGTGTTGACAAAACAATCCTTTTAGTTGCGGACTTTGTCCTTCACCCGTGACGTGATTTTTTTTTCAACACTGGAAAAGAAAGAAAGCACGGTTGACCAACAATGAGACGCGTATGTTAGCTTCTTCGGCGGCCGGTCGGGTGTCAACGATGGAAAGCGGCGAGGACGACAAGCTGCTTGACTTTTCCTCGTCCTCGTCGCCGGCTTCTCCTCCGAACGACGAGTTGAAGAAGCTGCGTTGTTTCAAAGTGTACAAGAGGAGGTGGTTCGTCCTCTTCGTTCTGTGCCTGCTCAACTGCTCGAATGCCACGGTGAGCCAAACCAACCACTGCTCAGATTAGATAACGCTCTCCAAAACACACACCTTTGTTTGTAAAATGGCACACTTAATCAGGAAATGATTCCGATTACTTTTGTTACGATTGCGGTTCCGTACCCCACTTGTAAATCAAGCTTTGACGGAAATAAAGTTCTAGGATAGTTGCACACCTCTGCAAACTTGTAATACCAGTTGTATTCATTTATTATGTATAATACCATTAATTAATACAACTAATACCATTCCAACCGGGTGAATTACAAGTTAGCATTGTTATCCATTCATTATCTTGATACACATATGTATTCGTTTATATTAGTGTATTTTAACTTCCTCTTTTGTGGTCATGTGATCAACTGAATCATGAGCCAGCCAACAACCGGTTCCTGCATGTTCTGTTGTGGAGGTCAAATAGAGTAGTTGAAAAAGTTAAGAAAAGGCAAGTCAAATTCATTTAAATGGCCCTTAATCACAGAAAAGTCTCAAAGGGGCTCACATGCCTGCAGTTCACAAATATTAATGACATCGCCTCATCTTGACCTCCAGGAATCATGAGGTTTTCTCAAACATTGTTGGAGACTGTTGCAGTGACCTTGAATTTTGAAAAGAGAGACTTTACCACTGCCTGCACTGGGCATCGGACCCCATATCATGACTGTGGATATTTCATACGGGACCTCAAGCAGCTTGTGTGAGATTCCTCACCCGTCTTCCTCCAAACCCTTGGACCTTGGTTCTCGAATGAAAGACACACATTCATTGGATAAGAGGATCTTGGACCACTGGCCAACAGTTCAGTCCCCTCTTCTTCTTGGCCCCGTTGAGACACTTCACATTGGCTCAGGCTTAGAAGTGGCTTGACCCAAGGAACCCGACAGTTGTATCTCCCGGATGCGTCTGAATGTGGTGGTTTTTGAAGCTGTAACTCCCAGCCCATTCAGATACTTAATCTTCTCTGTTTGATAATCCACTGAAGCCCAGGGTCATCTTTTTTGCTGGTCCATCTTCTCTTGCCACATTTTACCCTTCCACTAGACCAGGCCTGCACTAGACTTTCCATTGATATGCTTGGACATGCACTCTGAACAGCCAGCCTCCTTAGCTATGAACATCCGGGGTTGACAATTTCGATGAAGGGTATCAGTGATGGTCATCTGGCCAGTTGACAAGTCAGCAGTCTTCCCCATACTGAACCGAACTGAGACAATCAAACCAAGCGGGAGCAATTGAATGATACCCGTGACACTCAATTTAAAACATTCATTCATGCCGTGCAAAATTTGGGCTGATTTCTCCACAGTATTCACATTTATCAAAGTCCTCTTTTTGTGGGTTTCATGAGCAAGAAACCCAAATGATGTAAGAATAAACAAATCATACTGGAAATTGTTTAAATGGTGGGCCCTGAATCTATAATCATGAACATTTAACCTTTTGCATAGAATTCTGGAATTTTTTTTTTCCATGATATTCACATTTTTGGGAAAGTGTCTGTGAGGGTATGTGTGTGTACACGACAAAAAAAAAAATCACTGAAAAAATCTTGAAAAAGGAACAAAATGGGTTTTGCATTTTGACATTTATGGCACAATTTTTTACGACTGTTAGATTTCAGAAGTTCCGCTAGCGAGCAATGCTGTGCTCAGTAAACTCTTTGTAATCTTCATTGGTCATCTTTGGAATGCATTAATTTCCCAGCTATGGCTGACCTTCGCACCAGTGGCGGACCAGTCTGCGCAGTACTTTTATGTTTCCTTGGCGAACATCAACTGGTTGTCAGTGGTCTACATGGTGGTGTCTATTCCGCTCAGCTTCGCCACTACCTGGATGCTGGACACTGTTGGGCTGCGCCTCACGGTATGAAACCGCCGTGAATATTTGTTGGATCCAATGCCACATGCTGTAATTTGATCCCGTTGTGATACGTCATGGTCAACCCGGGTTTATACGTAATGCACGTGCTTTTGTAAACATCAGCTCAAAGACCATACTTTCTTCGGTATCTATTCAAAGACATGTACAGTATGTGAGATAGTCTTTAATGTTTTCCCCAATATGTAGGTTAGGGTTAGCTAAAGACTGTTTTATAAAAACATGTCCAATAGGCTCCTTGAAGACTCCAAATTGTCTTTGATGTTTTGAAAATGGCACAAGTTAACCCCTTTAAATTAATGTAATCTTCAAGGAACCCAACAGACCTGTCAAAGACCATTTTGTCTAATGGTTCTTGGTTTGCAGCTAATGTGACATATGTATATTGTTGTAAGCATCCAAGACAGTTCGTCATCAGTATTTTGTTTGCACTCAGCTAATCCTGGGCTCATGGTTGAACATGTTCGGCGGCATCATGCGCATCATGGGCGGTCCGCCGGGTACGGCCCTCAAGATCAACTATGCGGTGGTGATGCTGGGACAGACGGTGGCAGCGTTGGCGCAGCCGCTCATCATCTTTACGCCCACCAAGATGGCGGCACTCTGGTTCCCGGACCACCAGCGGGCCACGGCCAACACACTGGCCTCCATGGGTAAGGTTTTGCTGTGCCTCATGGTCACCTTTTTTGACGGCATGTCTGACTCAACATTATTTGTCTCCACAGCCAACCCGCTGGGTATTCTGGTGGCCAACTTGGTATCGCCTGCCATGGTGCGCACATCAGATCAAATCCCCACCTTGGTGTGTTACTCACATACATACATATCAATAGAGACACACACACACAGACAGACATATTCATGGCTTTCCCTTGCAACCTCCAGCTTTTAACCTATGCCGTTCCCGCCTGCGTTGGCTGTTTCCTGACAACGGTGGGCATCCGCAGCAGTGCCCCGCCCACACCACCATCGGCCAGCGCTGAATTTTCCACCTCCGAACCCTTCGTGCAAGGCATTAAACTGGTAGGGAGGTGCCTCTACGTGCTTTTGTTCCCATCACTGACAATTGTGTGTGGTGCAAAACTAAATTTCAGATGGTTTGTGTCACGCAGTTGCTGAAGAACCGAGCATATCTGGTGCTGCTGCTGTGCTTCGCTTCTGGCGTGGGCGTGTTCACATGCTTCACCACGTTGCTGGACCAGATCTTGTGTGTGCAGGGCTACACTAATGTGAGTTTATCTGAAAAGTTTTAGTGGTTTGCTTTGACTTTGGACCGTTGTGCCCCAGAGATGAGAGTCAGAAAAAAAAGTAAAATAATAAGTCATAAATATCTAAAGTCATCAGTAAATCGCAAATCTTTCAAGTTTCAGGCATGTCCTAAGTTCCTGTGGCAAAAATGAAGTGAAACTTCAGAGCTCTTTCCATGATACTTAAGAGGTGGTCTCTGCACAGTTAAGTCTATCTTAAATTTTTGCCAAGAAAGTCCCCCAATTGGCGTCTTAGGCTTCTTAATATGCAGTCGTCACTGTGGCGACGCTGGACGCAGTTTGCCTTTACACACATTCTGAAAGTGTGTTCTGGTTTCAGAGGGTATCGCTACGGCTTGTCTTGGCTAGGACACCAAAGGGTGGAGTTTCCTCTGCATTTTATGGTCACTTCCGGTCGCTGTTTTTAATTTGAGGAACAAGGAACAGAGCGACAGCAATGGAGCCCGAGCCAGCTTGAACAAAGGGACATAGATGACATCAACAGCTCATCAACAAGCTCCGTGCTTGCTGATGAGCTGTTGATGCCCCTCCCTCAGGTGGATGCGTGTGGCCACTGCCCGTTGGCTAACAAAAACGTGTATTTCTGTTAACGTCTGACACTTTTGACACATAACCTAGGGTACGTATTTTGGTTTAACAAAGACAGTTTCGTCATAGTAATGAACCTAATGTACGTGGTTTAAAAAAAAAAAACAAAAACTTTCATCCCAAACTAACCTAGCACATGAACCGTATGGGATTTTGTAAGTATTGAAGACAATCTTCTGTACTATTCAAACAAAGTAAATGAGTCTTCCTCAAATCTAAGTCTCAAGTTATATCGGAAACTTCATTTTGACGGGAGTCAAGTCATGGGACTCTCTATGCAGGACTTTGCAGGCCTGTGCGCCGCTCTCTTTATTGTGTTTGGCATCGTGGGCGCCGCCTTACTGGGGCTCTACGTGGACAAGACGAAACGGTTCACAGAGGCCATCAAGATTAACATGGGCATCTCTGCCTTGGCGGGCATCGCTTTCTCTGTGGTGAGTACATCACGCCCATCTTCCAACTTCATGTGGCAGCTTCACATGATCTGAACACCAAAACCTCCTCAGGTGTGTCTGATGCAGCAGCAGAGCATCGCCGTGGCGACGGTGTGCTCGCTCTTTGGCTTCTTCGGCTTCTCCATTTACCCGGCGGTCATGGAGCTGTCCGTGGAGTGCTCCTACCCGGTGGGAGAGGCCACTTCGGCAGGACTCATCTTCATATCAGGGTACCAAATCAAGTCCCAGTGAGGGTTCTGTTCCAAACGTTATAAATCCTCTAAAAACGGTCCAAACCAACAGGTTGGCCTCGTGTAAAATATTTACATTCTTGCCCGGCTAAGCCTGTGCCGAAAATTTGGAGAATTTGAGTACAGAAAAGGCCTCAAAGAGGCTCAATGAGTCCCCGACTAATGTGGACTTCCAACCAAACTTCCGGTTTATTCAGGGGAGGTTAGGTGAGCATTTATTCTGGAGTCTGGGACCCTAAATATGCACAAATATAATGTGTCAATTTGGGGGAAGATAAAGCCCTCACAAAGGCGATTCTGTTGCCAGTGAAGTAATAGCAAACACTGGTCAAAAAGTTTTTACTATTTGTTTTTAATCAGAGGAATTTTTTGCACCGATTCCGATTCTGCTCTCGTTTTTTTCTCGAGCATGTAAGGTTTTCATCATCATCATAATAGTATTAGTAATTGAAATTATTTGTGAATTTAAGGTTGGGTTCAGCAACAGGTAGATTTTTTTTGGTCTGAAATGTCATAGCTATGAATTATGTGTGGTAAAATTCGTGTTGCACAAGCTTTTATGGGTCAAACTTCAAAATGAAAATATCTCAAAAACCTGATCAGCATTTAAAATATTAATAATAAATAATTTAAAATATACATCTAAATAAATATATCTGAGACATAAAATTGGCTCTTGAATATGTAATATTCCTGTAATAAATCACCTGTAAGTCACTTGTGGATTTTTGATAGCCCACCCACAGGTTGCCGGTATAAAAGAAATACAACATTTTTGGGTCCTCTTATATTCATTCATTCACTGCCTGAGGGTGCTTCACTTTCTCTTCATCTTTGTAGACAAATCCTGTCCATCGTCTACATCGTCCTCCTGCAGTCTTTGGCCACGCCTGTTGCCGAGTCACCACGCTCAACCTGTGGGCTCGCCCCTCAGAGCTGGAAGGGTAACGCATCAAATTGTGTGTGCGTGTGTGTGTGTGTGTGTGTGTGTGTGTGTGTGTCAAAAAACCTACGCAGGCAAGGGGAGACCAGTCGACCACAAGAAAATTTTCTAAATACTTTTAAGTAAGGAAAGTTACATAACTCAGCGTGATTCAGATTTGTTCTTGGTTTTGCTGTTCGGTGCTTTCTACCGTCTTTATCGATTTGTTGCTTTACTGTTGTATATGTTAGTTGTTCTATGTACAGCACTTTGTGGGCAGCGATGGCTGTTTGAAGGTGCTCTGTAAATACAGTTGAGTAATTAAAAAAAATAATAATAAATTGAAGGTTTTTTTTTTTTTTTTGTCTTGCTTCATCCATCAGTGCCCATGATGGTGCTCGCAGTGCTGACGACCTTCTTCACCTGCGTCTTCATCATTGTCTTCCGCACCCGGTACAGGCGCTTGGAGGCTGAAGAGGACGCGGCCTACGGGCATAAACGAGACAACCGATCCACCGATCCCACCCCTGCGTGTGTGGACACGTGATCCATAACATAATTTTTTATTTATTTTTTTAAGTACCGGTAGCTTTTAGCAACAACTTGCTGTTTCATGTTCACTTATTGATAACATGACATGCACATTCATACAGTTCAAAGCCAGCTTGGTGGAAACGAGGATCACTGACTATTGAAACGACCAAGACGAGTGAAATCTGGAATTTGCACTTTAAAGAAAGGTTTTGTCTTCGTTCTATGGAAATTATATTTTTAAATACATTATTGAAAGCTGATCCTGTTTGAAATCAGGTATTCAAAATATATTAAATTTGACCAATTTTGTAATGTTCATGGAAAAGGTTTGAAATTGAGAAAATGTTAAATAAAAATATTGGAATATAAATTTGTGTCTGTGCGCGTGTTATTAATATATTTTTTGTTACTGCACACTGCTCCATTAGCATTCTAGCAGTCCCACGTTCCCCAAAAAAATTTTTTAAATAAAATTTCAAAAAGCAGGTCACCTTCAACCTACGGTGGCGCGTGACCTGCATCAAGTTGTTAGCGGTCAGCAGTCTGCAATTGCAGCTTGATCAGAGGTGTTGTGCTACATCATTTATTGTTATTCTCATTCAGAGTTTGTTTCATGTGCAGTTCACTGAGTGCACGGTCAAAGAATGGGAATCTGGAGTGCATTTTAAAATGGTTCAAGTGAGCTACGATCGCAAACATACTGCAAAAGTGTGTCCCATGCCTCCGCGTCAGGTCCCCCATTAAGGTAGGCAGTGATTTGCTTTTAACAAACTCACAAACCTTTGTGTCAACTTTATTTTTCTGTTTTGGTCATCTTAGGGCCAGTTATGAGTATTGCTCATCAGGGCATGCACGTTTAAGCGCGTGCGTATGCGCGCATGTGCGGTAACGGTTCGATAGCAGGAGTATTTGCAAGTTTTTTTAGATGATGATTTTGAATGAAGTCAAGCATAATTTTTACATGAAGTTATATATAAAAAAAGCATTGCAATGAAACAATAATAATTATAATGGCCACAATAATACAAATTACACCCCCTCCCCGCTACATTTAGTACACTGCAATTTTGGTTCGTATGCAAAATGAACAAATGAAGAGTGCTTCCTCTAATACTGTTATAGACGTGAGTTGAATTTGAAAACAGATTTACTTGACGCACTTCATCAAGAAAGCCGACACACCTGGTTTAAAGAACTGGAGTTTTAATTCCTATTCAATACCACATAAAACAAATATAAAACAAATGTTGGAAGGTTCTCTCTGGACTTTGAGTCCATCAAGGACCAGTTTAAAAAGAAAAAAAAAACAGTATTGCAAATATTGTGTATTGTTGTTTTTTTTTTGTTGTTTTTTTTTTTAATGGCTGAGGAGATTCTTGATGCAAGAGCCGTAAAGTTGTGCAGAGGCTTTTCAGAGCTGAAGGGCGCAAAATTGCTGATAGACGGCTAGGATGTGGTGGTCCAGCTCAGCTGTGAACAGCAGATTTTCCAACGTGCCCATGTACTGCTGGATGGTCACGTGGTGCTGACGAGGAACGGCGGTGATTGTGTGAGTACTTCATTTGGTGCGCCAGAGTGCCTGTGTATTTATGCGCATGCTTACGTGTGAGTGTCTTACCATGAGAAAGATCTGCTGTAGTCTCTCTACGCAGTTCTTGTACCACGGCGTGCTGACGTTGACGCTGCCCGTCTCACAGCGCACCAGATGCTCAGTCAACAGCATGATGAAGCGCTGCCGGGCCACATGCCACAAATTACGGTTAAATTAACATTCTTTACCCAGACGATCGCATAGACTTCTGTTGATGGCCTCAAAAGGAGGAATTTGAAGTGAGCGCACAGTACCAAAGAAACGCACGATATTCGAGAAAAATGTCACTTATCCGTGAGACTTTATCGCAGGACTTTCTGGATGGCACAACAAATGAGATTAAAAATCCGATGATGACCAATGGACAAAGAAAAATGTTCGCGTGATGTAGCCTAACATAAAAAGCCTACATTCGGGGAAAAGCCAGTTCAAGCATCATTTCGCACAAAATGTCATTTCAACTTTGATGATATCACAGAAGCGTAGCACAAAAAAGTGACAAGGATTGAAGAACAGGAAAGTGAACTTGCCGCAATTAAAAATAATAAATTATGATTTTTTTTCCAAAAGATCACATCGACGTTTTGATGGCACCACAGAAAGATTAAAATATGTAATGATGACCATTGAACAGGGAAAATGAACTTAGGGTGATGTAGCATTGCAAACAAAACTTGGAAATTCGGCAAAACTTAGAATTCAAACATCATCATGCACAAAGACTTCATTCAGTAGACTTTTTAATGGAACCTCACAGAATGGGCGAAAATGTGATGATGACCATATGAAAGAAAATGTTTGCTATGTTATGTCAAAACGGAAAATTAAAACGCTGCCAAAGAGAGAATTCGTCCCAAGACCCACAAGCACCACATTAGACATGAAAAATGTGCTCCCTATTGTGTCTCATCATGTCCCATTTCTAAGGATGGGCAATTGATCAATGTAATTGAGAAATCGTTTTTCTGGGGACTACTGATATTCACCCTCCCAAAAAGATTAAAACAAAAAACGGATGTTTTGTTCCCTTTGATGTACCCTATCATGTCCCCAAAAATATCTCAGGTGTCAAAAGAAAGATTCTCACCTGGAAGATGACGAGGAAGAGGTTCTTTTGCTCGCTCTGAGCCGACTCCACCTTCTCCTGCAGCCTATCGATCTGCTCCTCCAGCTGACCCTCCTCATCCTCGCTGTTCTTTTCCATGTCTTCTTCGTCGCCGCTGTCCCTCGGCTGTCCAACGCAAACAGACAAACGTACTATGACGATATTTTTTCGATATACTGTGCAGCCCTACTAGAGATTGTAGGTTATATTGAAATAGCTAATCGAGAGATTCACTTTCATTGGAGATGTACTGTTGTGGTACACATACGCTTTATCTTGTCAATAGAGAATGTCCATTGCCTATCCATAATGGCGCAGTTTTATCTTTCACGCAAACAGGAAAACTCACGGCAGATTTCCTGCATAAAAGAAGACATACCCTCTTATTTTGCTGCTTCTCCAGCTTGTCCTTGGCCTCCTCCAGCTCCTTCTGGATTTTTTGGACGTGTTTGTTCATCTTCCGGATGGTCGAGTGCAGAATCTCCCAAATGTAAAGTCTAAGTCAGGTGAAAGCGGGGGAAGAAAACTTGTAGACCTTCTGAAATGTGGAACTGGATCAGGAAGTAGACCAGGTGTACCTGGTGAACTCGTGAGCCATGTCCTGAGAGAAAAGCCAGTTGGCCACAGCAGCGCAGTCCACAATCTGCGTCCGGATCATTTTGTCCACCAGCACGGCGATCATCTAAAAGGATTCAAAAGTCCCAGAACATCACCCGACACCCACCGCGAGAAGAGGGACTCATGGGGGTGTGGAGGGGCTGTTCTACCTGTGGGTGGTTCTTCCACGCCTGGTAGACCACCTTGAGAATGTGCAGTTTGCCCTCGTCGCTCTCTGTCAGGTTCTTCAGGATCTCGTGAAACCTGCAGGGAAGATCAGCCAATCATTTCACAAAATGATCCATAAAATTGACTTACGGATTATTTGATTTTGATCAAATGCACTCCGAGTGCGCCTTTACATGTGGCCAAGACTCTCCTAACGTCATCGAACGGAGCAGGCGGAAGTTCACTCTTGCCCTTACAAATCTAGTCGGTTGAGCAATGTTGTGATCATTTTATTGTTTGTGAAGTATGGATATCGTTAGATCCCTAAAGAACTCCAAATATGTGGGTGATAACTGTATCCAAACAAAGGGGCCTTAGGATAGGAGTCTGATTTGTCCATGAGCACACTTGTAACTCAAAACACTTGTATCGCTAATTGTCTTTCCGAATTGAAAAAAACAAAACAAACAAACAAAAAAGGTGTGTTTTTTTTTAATAAGTTAGAGGTTAAAGTGGACTTTCCTGGGAAAAAAAATGTATGTGTGTGTTTTTTTAACGGACTTACCAGGTTTGTCGACCTTTCTAATGTAATTGGACAAAAAAAATCTCCATTCATGTCCTTTTCCTCAAGCCATGACCACTTGAACGCGTTCCTAACACTCGCGTCTATTGCACGTATGTCAGCTTGCCTGTCTACCTGTTTGAACATTGCGCTGGGGCCGTACCTGGCCGATCACACATGAATTAGTTTACACAAAACACTATTCAAATACTCAACATTCAATGATTAATCTGCCTTTTTTGTGCACACGTGCACCCTTTGTGGCTTCCGTTCTCGTCGAAATTTAGAAATCTCCAAGACATGGCAAGGCCATGAGAATGCGAGGGGAGGGGTGTTACTGTTACTAGTGTTAGTGCCTCAACATGGCTACGCTCGTGAAAGCAAAACAACGAACTCAAACTCGTGTTCGTTCAACGTTGTCAACTAATATCCTGATTAATTTTAGGCAATTTTCCCTCAATTTTCTGGAGGAAATTTCATGAAAATTTGAAAATCCGTAATTCCGGGAAAATCCGGAGGACTTTCATCTCGAATAAGTAAAAATAGCACATAGAAAAAAGCCCAGTGCCGATGGCGGCACCTTGTTTATCTGCTAGATTAGACTTGGCTTGGCGTGTGAGGCTCTTCAAGTGACAGTAACCAGAACGATGCTGGTATATTTCATCTGTCTCAATGTCTGTTGATTTTAGACTGAGGAATGTGACATTTTCTCCCAATATCAGTCTGGTGTTTATCATGCACCCTAAATTGGGCCTTGCTGAGTTCTAATTGAAACTGTCAGATGTATTCCTTTTCAGAATGTTTATTTTATTTTTACATACATTGCACAATGGGAGCCGTTCCTAATATTTTGACTCTCTCAGTCAAAGTTGCTCAGTGAGGTAACCAAAATATTACAAAAAGCTGTCAGGGAGTATATTGTAAAATTAACACCCGAACTATTGATCAAGCTTTACTTAAAGTGTTGCGGTTTTAAGGTTCTGAGGTGAACTTACTTGCCGAGAGCACTGAATGAGTGGCTGAAGGATTTGGCTGCCAGGTGAAGAAGCGTCTGCAAGAAAACGTCCACTTTCAGCGGGTTGAAGCTCTCACCTTCGTCTGCCAGGAGGGGAAGAAGCACAAATTTCACATGACATTCAAGTTTGTATAAAAGCAGCCGACATAAATCCTGACAAAGATGTTGAATAACTGATTAAAACAAACAAACAACCGTCGTCGTCGTCCTGGTTGGGGTTGGGCACATCTTTGAGGATGGTGAGAATCTCCTCGTTGGACGCTCGGTTCTTGATGGCGTTGCAGACGGTCACTGACATGGCGTAACCCGGCAACAACGCTGAGGCAAGAGAAAATGCCATCATTGAATGAACGTGACATTTTTCAAATCCCTTCAGCAGTTGAGAGACGACAACACAATGGCTTACAAGCGCTTTCGTCAGCATATTTGTAGATGAAGACAGGCTCGGCCGGAATGAGGGCGGCGAAAGTGGGTGGAACAATTTCCACTATCCTTTGGTGGTAGGACAGCCTGCATAACACATATACGTTCACAGTTACAAGAACACGTACTATATACAGTACAGTGTTTACATCATCTTTACTAATTAGGGCTGGACGATTATCGGGAAAAAAAAGAATAACAATTACTTTGAGATTAAAATCACGATTAAGAAAATTATGATTAATTGATTTCAAAATGTTGTGTTTACTCAACTACTCAAAACTATCATCATAGCCTCATGCACATTTATCCCTGCACGCTGACCTGTTTATTGTTGAACACTATTCTTTTTGTCAAGTACAAAATGACATTGTTTTGTACATATAAAATGCAGGCCTCTTTCATTCTCAACCACAAACCATATCATTTTAACATATTTATTTAACCTCCAACAAAGCGTATGAGGGAAAAGTGGTTAAGATTGCATGACTGTCCGTGTTTTGATGTTAGTGTTAGGTTAAGATTGCACGACTGTCCGTGTTTTGATGTTAGTGTTGTGTTTATTATTCTACTTTATGTTAACTGTTTTGTTAAGGGCTTTGTTACAGCTGCAGCTGTTGTGAAAGCGATTTTTAAATCAGGATGTATTGCATTGTATTATGTTATTTTCACCAAATTGTGGGACTTTCTGAGCTAACTTGGGACCTCGGAGATCGTATGTCGTGTGATGTGGAAATGTGTGTTGGTAGGTCAAAAAAAAAAGTTCTTGGATCTAGTAAAATCATAGTCATTGTTTTCAATGACTATTATTTTCATAGACCGATTTAATTATGAAAAACAATTCCATACCTCATGCACTTCTCCAGAACCTCTTTGACAAATTTGGGTTTGGGTTTCTCAAGATCCAATGTCAAACAGTCAGCCCTGTACGACAACAAGAACAAAGGGTCAATCAAGCCTGCTGAGACTAAATACCCAGAATCTTAGTTTATAAGCTTCACTCACCAGTCATCCCAGCTCCATCGAAACTGGAAGTTGCTCAAATGGTGGGAGAACCAGTTGATGAGTCTGGAACCAGGAAGTGAGCCAGTGTGAGACAGGGAAAATGGGTGTGGAAGAGACTTTTATTACCTGTCGATGCAGGTGGTGTTCATGGTGTCCAGTCGCATGTAGAGCATCTCTGTGGCTTGGGCTAACTGAGGTGCTCCGTTAAAGAAATATTCAACATCCATCCAGCATTTTGTGATGCGGCATCCCCGTTCCAAATTTTTCAAACTCGTTTTGCTGAATTCCCTTGAGATTGTTCGTTCAAATGCAAATCTTGCAAATGGACAAAAAGTGCCAATTTAAACCAAACTGGAACACTTGTTTATCATGGGTCTTTAACTTTTTGGGGTGTCCAATCAAGACAGACAACAAAAGCAACATTTTAATTTGAGAGTCGAAATAAAGATTATAGCAATGTTGTCCATTTTCTGTAGAAAACAATAATCTGCTTTAAAAAAAAGATCTCACTCACATATGAGAATTGCTGAAAAGTAATGGGTGAAAACTGAAGACGTTACATTTCTCTAATCTAGATTGGGATACAACTTGTGGCAGCGAGCCTGGCTGCAGTTTGCAAAGTTCGATCAGCAGTGACGTGTACATTACATCAATGTGAGGGGGAGAGGGCAGCTGAAAAAGTTCTCCAAAAATCACCTGGGAGGGGAGGGAGGAGAATTTAGTCAAAAATATGTTTTAGGTTTGATTTCATTTTGCATATAAAAGAAATAGACGCACCTCCACAATGTGATAGTTGAGGGGGATCTTATTTTTGCCAGGGTAGCTGAGTAACTGGGCGGCGCTGCAAAGTAAACAAGGAAAGGTTATATATGTGTACCGTGATGCCTTGGCTTATGAGTATAATTTGTTTCGTGACCAACATTGTAACTCCAAATACTTGCACCTCACATCATCTTTTCGCATTGAAATAAAAGGACATGCCATTCATAAGTTCCAACCCCACCAACAAAACCTTTAATAAAGTGTTTTGAAATAAGCAAACTAGCACTCTACAGTATTGTACTTTAAAAATCCTTAAGTAAAACATAATTAAATAGCACATAAAGAATTAAATAGTTTGTGAGTCATGATTTCATGTTTTAATGCCCATTGACGTGCTCTTGCTTGTGTGCGCACCTTGGCCACCAGATAATAAAAACATACACCCTACACGAAGAGGAGGATCACAACTGAGCGCCTTAGTAAGCTGCAGTATTACTCTCTCTCTTTTTTTTTTGCAGAGGAGAGAGAATATATGCCTGTGTGCATTGCTATATAGTCCAATTACATATAATGCTATCGATTGTGTTGAAATGTCTGTTGCTTAAAGGTTTACGGATTGTTTTTCATTGCGCGATTGCATTAGCAGCGGACAACCAAAAGCTAGGTGGTTTGGTTATATATGCAAAGGGTAATTCTCTTTGCTTTATATGTTTACCTTCAACTGGGAAGGCAGTTAACAGTTATATGCATCCTTTTTTGAGGTTATGTTGCATGCCACTATTAAGCATACGTAACTCAAATATTGCTCGCAACACAATAAATAAACAAACCGGCACCACAAACGCCTGGCATCTCAGAAAACTCATAAGTCGGTTCATTTGTAAGCCAAGTTACCACACATATATCATACAGATTTCAACAAGCATGAGTATGTATAGAAGCCCTATTTCTTGAAGTTTACCAAGTTCTGCGCTCTCTCCAATGAGTCTTCATGATGCAGTGCAGGTTCTCTTCGATGACAAACCTCTCCACAGAATGACTGCCGGGCATAACCGGACCCTGATTGCATCATACAGCAATCACACAAGATAATACATGAAAACAAACAAATAAAGCATTAGTGTTTGACAATGAATACAGGCGTGTAGTGCTATAAATTGTGGGGAAAATGCATAATGGGCCGTAATTCCCCCCCAACCCCTCATGCGCTACAGTGTAAAAGACAAGTACAGTCTGAAACATTTTATAAAAAGCTATTTTTCTTGTCAGCTTGTGACACCATTAGTGGTTTTTCTGGATTAAATGTCTTCTTAAGGATAACTAAATATTTTGGATGTTATTAAAGAAATATTATGAATAAATATTAAAAGGCAGAGGTGGGCTAAGTATGTCTCACTCTGCCCACTGAGCATTTTCATTGTCGAAAGTCTTTGATTATTTAGCTAAGCCACTGCGCTCACTGAAAATTGGTGAATCAAAATTAATTATATTCTGTATTCGTGTATCTGATTAACTTTGGTGAATTAAGTTATTGTAAATAATTTTCAAAGTAAACAACTGTCTACGTACACGCACACACGCACGCACGCACACACAAAACATCCAGCCAGGGAGCGGTTCATTGGCGCTGCCTGTCGCAGAGCGCGCATCTCTGGCGGCCGTGAATTTGCAGAGGGCCGCTGCTGGAACCAAGGACCGTTACATTGCAGTGGCAGCTAGGAGCCCACAACCACTGGAACCATGGACCATTGTAACTAAGATTAACCCATTAAAAAAATTCTATTCAAAATAATAAAATTCCTCCTCAAATAAAGTAAATTAACAAAATTGCCAAAACAAAAAAGAGAAAAAAAGTTATTTGGAGCCTTGATATTTTATTCTCTCAGAGCGCAGCAGTCATGTGCTAAAATGGCTTACCTCAGGTGCGTCAGTGTAGTCGAACATGCGGAAGATGTGCTGCTGAAGGCTGTAAATTTCCCCAGTGTGGGACAAATAAAGGATATCTAATCTAATCTAATCTAAGTCATGTGCTAAAATGGCTTACCTCAGGTGCGTCAGTGTAGTCGAACATGCGGAAGATGACGCGGGGCATGGGGTACTCGGCATCGGGCATGTGTCCGGGCGGCGTGAAGGGGGGCAAGTTGTGCTGCAGAGCCTCACACAGCACGCTGTCAAAAGCGATGTACGGACGTAGGATATGACGTTCTTGCCAGCGATCCTTCTTTAGTTTCTGGATCTGTGCCCAAAGGCAGTCCAAGTACTGCCGGGACACAGTCAGGGTTAGTGGCAAGAAAACTTTTTTCTGTGTATATGCGTTGACATAAGTTCAAATTTCTAACCTCCTCTTGAGGGTGGGGCTTCTCAGCAGTCCACACCTGAAGCATGGGGAGATGAGTCTTCGATCGCCTCCTGAAAAAAACAAGTAGAAGAAGCAGTCAGTCACTGTATCGTAAAAACAGGGACTGTAAACTGCTTAACACACAAGAAGAGGTTAGTAAAACATTGGGGACTGACGAAAAATACATTACCACTTCAAGAACAGTCAGTCCCACTTATTTAAGAGAAAAAGGCTTACCTTACGAGAAAAGATTTTAGACAATAAAGTCAGAGATTTTTCCATCATTTTGAAAAAAAAAGTATACATATATATTTTTTTACATTTTATGAGAAAAGTACAAAGTAGTAAACTTGTTGGAATAAAACTCATAAAATGTCCCCGAACACAAAGTGCAGATGTCCAAATACTGAGTGCGCATGGCTCCTTGTGTGTGCCAGACTTTACAAGAACAAAGCAAAAAATATTCATGTGACCAAAACTTTTCTATGCTCAAAATGACTAACTGGAAGTTGCTCAAATGGTGGGAGAACCAGTTGATGAGTCTGGAACCAGGAAGTGAGCCAGAGTGAGACAGGGAAAATGGGTGTGGAAGAGACTTTTATTACCTGTCGATGCAGGTGGTGTTCATGGTGTCCAGTCGCATGTAGAGCATCTCTGTGGCTTGGGCTAACTGAGGTGCTCCGTTAAAGAAATATTCAACATCTATCCAGCATTTTGTGATGCGGCATCCCCGTTCCAAATTTTTCAAACTCGTTTTGCTGAATTCCCTTGAGATTGTTCGTTCAAATGCAAATCTTGCAAATGGACAAAAAGTGCCAATTTAAACCAAACTGGAACACTTGTTTATCATGGGTCTTTAACTTTTTGGGGTGTCCAATCAAGACAGACAACAAAAGCAACATTTTAATTTGAGAGTCGAAATAAAGATTATAGCAATGTTGTCCATTTTCTGTAGAATGCAATAATCTGCTTTAAAAAAAAATCTCACTCACATATGAGAATTGTTGAAAAGTAATGGGTGAAAACTGAAGACGTTACATTTCTCTAATCTAGATTGGGATACAACTTGTGGCAGCGAGCCTGGCTGCAGTTTGCAAAGTTCGATCAGCAGTGACGTGTACATTACATCAATGTGAGGGGGAGAGGGCAGCTGAAAAAGTTCTCCAAAAATCACCTGGGAGGGGAGGGAGGAGAATTTAGTCAAAAATATGTTTTAGGTTTGATTTCATTTTGCATATAAAAGAAATAGACGCACCTCCACAATGTGATAGTTGAGCGGGATCTTATTTTTGCCAGGGTAGCTGAGTAACTGGGCGGCGCTGCAATGTAAACAAGTAAAGGTTATATCTGTGTACCGTGATGCCTTGGCTTATGAGTATAATTTGTTTCGTGACCAACATTGTAACTCCAAATACTTGCACCTCACATCATCTTTTCGCATTGAAATAAAAGGACATGCCATTCATAAGTTCCAACCCCACCAACAAAACCTTTAATAAAGTGTTTTGAAATAAGCAAACTAGCACTCTACAGTATTGTACTTTAAAAATCCTTAAGTAAAACATAATTAAATAGCACATAAAGAATTAAATAGTTTGTGAGTCATGATTTCATGTTTTAATGCCCATTGACGTGCTCTTGCTTGTGTGCGCACCTTGGCCACCAGATAATAAAAACATACACCCTACACGAAGAGGAGGATCACAACTGAGCGCCTTAGTAAGCTGCAGTATTACTCTCTCTCTTTTTTTTTTGCAGAGGAGAGAGAATATATGCCTGTGTGCATTGCTATATAGTCCAATTACATATAATGCTATCGATTGTGTTGAAATGTCTGTTGCTTAAAGGTTTACGGATTGTTTTTCATTGCGCGATTGCATTAGCAGCGGACAATCAAAAGCTAGGTGGTTTGGTTATATATGCAAAGGGCAATTCTCTTTGCTTTATGTTTACCTTCAACTGGGAAGGCAGTTAACAGTTATATGCATCCTTTTTTGAGGTTGCGTAGCATGCCACGATTAAGCATACATAACTCAAATATTGCTCGCAACACAATAAATAAACAAACCGGCACCACAAACGCCTGGCATCTCAGAAAACTCATAAGTCGGTTCATTTGTAAGCCAAGTTACCACACATATATCATACAGATTTCAACAAGCATGAGTATGTATAGAAGCCCTATTTCTTGAAGTTTACCACGTGCTGCGCTCTCGCCAATGAGTCTTCATGATGCAGTGCAGGTTCTTTTCGAGGACAAACCTCTCCACAGAATGACTGCCGGGCATAACCGGACCCTGATTGCATCATACAGCAATCACACAAGATAATACATGAAAACAAACAAATAAAGCATTAGTGTTTGACAATGAATACAGGCGTGTAGTGCTATAAATTGTGGGGAAAATGCATAATGGGCCGTAATTCCCCCCCAACCCCTCATGCGCTACAGTGTAAAAGACAAGTACAGTCTGAAACATTTTATAAAAAGCTATTTTTCTTGTCAGCTTGTGACACCATTAGTGGTTTTTCTGGATTAAATGTCTTCTTAAGGATAACTAAATATTTTGGATGTTATTAAAGAAATATTATGAATAAATATTAAAAGGCAGAGGTGGGCTAAGTATGTCTCACTCTGCCCACTGAGCATTTTCATTGTCGAAAGTCTTTGATTATTTAGCTAAGCCACTGCGCTCACTGAAAATTGGTGAATCAAAATTAATTATATTCTGTATTCGTGTATCTGATTAACTTTGGTGAATTAAGTTATTGTAAATAATTTTCAAAGTAAACAACTGTCTACGTACACGCACACACGCACGCACGCACACACAAAACATCCAGCCAGGGAGCGGTTCATTGGCGCTGCCTGTCGCAGAGCGCGCATCTCTGGCGGCCGTGAATTTGCAGAGGGCCGCTGCTGGAACCAAGGACCGTTACATTGCAGTGGCAGCTAGGAGCCCACAACCACTGGAACCATGGACCATTGTAACTAAGATTAACCCATTAAAAAAATTCTATTCAAAATAATAAAATTCCTCCTCAAAGTAAATTAACAAAATTGTTTCCCAAAACAAAAAAGAGAAAAAAAGTTATTTGGAGCCTTGATATTTTATTCTCTCAGAGCGCAGCAGTCATGTGCTAAAATGGCTTACCTCAGGTGCGTCAGTGTAGTCGAACATGCGGAAGATGACGCGGGGCATGGGGTACTCGGCATCGGGCATGTGTCCGGGCGGCGTGAAGGGGGGCAAGTTGTGCTGCAGAGCCTCACACAGCACGCTGTCAAAAGCGATGTACGGACGTAGGATATGACGTTCTTGCCAGCGATCCTTCTTTAGTTTCTGGATCTGTGCCCAAAGGCAGTCCAAGTACTGCCGGGACACAGTCGGGGTTAGTGGCAAGAAAACTTTTTTCTGTGTATGTGCGTTGACATAAGTTCAAATTTCTAACCTCCTCTTGAGGGTGGGGCTTCTCAGCAGTCCACACCTGAAGCATGGGGAGATGAGTCTTCGATCGCCTCCTGAAAAAAACAAGTAGAAGAAGCAGTCAGTCACTGTATCGTAAAAACAGGGACTGTAAACTGCTTAACACACAAGAAGAGGTTAGTAAAACATTGGGGACTGACGAAAAATACATTACCACTTCAAGAACAGTCAGTCCCACTTATTTAAGAGAAAAAGGCTTACCTTACGAGAAAAGATTTTAGACAATAAAGTCAGAGATTTTTCCATCATTTTGAAAAAAAAAGTATACATATATATTTTTTTATATTTTATGAGAAAAGTA